TCTTCTTCTTCTTCTTCTTGGTTTTATGGCGAGTTGCAATCTCGCCACCTCAGGATTTTCTTTTATTATATTAGTTGTTGTGTCTGAAGAGTCCAGGTATCGGTTGGCGCTGCGTCCTCCACACTGAACCCCTTAGACTCCAAACCGAGACAGAACATCTTTTACATTATATTCTTTTATCTAGTCCTGTGCTATATACAAAATTAAATAAAATCCTATATCCTGTTCTATCACTATTAAATTCATATCCAGTTGATCACTTATTTCATTATCCAACTACCCCCATATGGGCTGGAACCCAACAAAATCCTATTAATATGCCTTTCCTTTATCATCTCATTCATTAAATCTTCTCTAGATGACTGGGGGCTGGATAATGAAGTTAAGACAGAAGCAGAGTCTGAGCAAATCACACCTCTACCCACAAGTCCCACTATAATAGCGACCATTTCAACAGAATATATTGATAATTCAGATGATAATCTTTTACTTATGAATATATCCAAGTCAGGGATATATATTCCTGCTCCTGTCATCCCCTTATCTGGATCTTTGGACCCATCAGTCCTGTTTTACTCTTCACTCACTACAAGAATAAATAATGACATCCAGCGGTTGAAATGATGTCTTTGACATTATCAGTGTAATTGTTTTCATATTACGCTGATGTGTGTTCCTTTATTGGGTCCCCCATTGTCCACAGCAATATTTTCTCCAATTGTTCACGATTTTAATAACTCGCAAGACTTTTTCAGGTTTAAATCACAGTTGTAAAATGAGGATACCGCATATATCCAGGTTCAAACGATACAGTTATTAAAAAGGTGAATTAAATTCTTTTAATGCGTGTTTTGGCTTATTTTAAAGTATTTTAAGTCGTACTGAGACCCCCCTGGTTGCAGGGGACTGCAGCGATCGCTTTTTTATTTAAATTTTTTTACTTCTTTGAATTGTTTTTGTCTTATACCATTCTTTATTTACTTCTCAGGATGGGTTTATTTATTAAATTCAGTCAAGTTGTTTTTCTCCATCGAACGGATGATTAAATGACCTGTGCTGCTTTTATTGTGGGCCATTAAACGAAATACAAACAGTAAAACCATTATGAAACACAAAACACTTCAAACAAGTCAGCATTTTATTTTCAGTTTATTCGGTTATTTCTCAACGCCACTGCTTTCTATGCGTTTGAACTACATTTCCCATGATTCCCTTCCGAACTCCTATGGTATGCCATCCGCCATTAAACACCAAGAAGAAGAAGAAGAAGAAGAAGAAGAACTTCCTATGGAGCTCAAGCGTGTGTGATTGCGGTGAGTGGTGTGATGTGAAACAGTCATGTATTTCATTTGGAATTGTTTGCCGTTAATCTGGCACCTTGAATAATATAAACGACAAAGTTCGTAGTCTTCATAGTTCATTATCCTGCTGTTTGTGACCGTTTAAGACTCAAGAGTTTAAAGCTAGTGGGCTTATTAGCATGTAGCTGCTAAACAATAACATTATATTGCAGCAGCAGGAGTCGATTCATTGAATGGACCGTATATGCATTACTTAACGATGCTAAACTTTAAATATCGATATCGGTATTGCAGTCATCAGGGTGACTAAAGTGATAGTAATTTCCTCAAAACAATTGTGAACAAGAGTTCAGCATAATTAAAATTGGTTTATCTCACAGATCTATAATATATATATGTGTGTGTGTGTGTGTGTGTGTGTGTGTGTGTGTGTGTGTGTGTGTGTGTGTGTGTGTGTGTGTGTGTGTGTGTGTGTGTGTGTGTGTGTGTGT